AGTCGGAAGAGGGAGTGCGGGGAGATGGTAAAAAGAGAGTCAGAGAATGTGTAGCTCTTGAAATGAATAAAGGGAAAGAGATATTCATACAACCTGTTTGTATGTTTGTTAGCTTGTTGGGAAGATAGTGGCAATGGAAATTCAAGCGCTATTTTTATTTATTTTTTGTATTGTGATAAATGCTGCTTAAAGAAGTCGACGGATATCACACAGAAATTTAAAAACTGGAAGGCATGATTTTTGGAGTTTATTTAGTTGGAATAACAACTATCTAAGGCAAAGAGTCCGCCGGCAGTGCTCTAAATATTCACGAACAAAATAAGTGTTTAGTTTCAGCAATTTTTGAAAGATCTTCAACAATGAATTTAGTTAAATATTTCATGATACTTTCAACGTTTTAATGTTAATTTTAATGTTAAATTTTAAACCTAAATAGAAAAGTTGAAGCAGCAATTGTTGTGCACATTTTAAACTATTTTTTCAGGCATCAAACAAGCCCATTTTGAAGTTAGTTTTCAAGTGAATTTGTAACTTAATTTGTTGTGTACAGTTTTTGAGGCAAATTCGCGCACCCAAGGTAATGGCAATGTTTGTGTGTGTGGTGCTTAATTTCGGAACAAGTTGGCAGTCATCGGCTCGGGTGCAGACACGAATAGCAAACAAAAAGGAGAGCATAAAAAAAAGAGAGCAGCCAGAAGGTGAGGTGGTGGCTGGAGCATAGAACAAGCAGTCATTTTTTCTACTCTTGACTCGAACCAACAAAGTGGCAAGCGTTAATGCGAAAATCATTCACAAACACACACCCTAACACACACACACACACACTCTAAGAGAGGCAGCGGCCAAAGAGCGAGCGAGAGAGAGAGTGCGAAAGAGGGGGGCTAAAATCTAAAGCAAATTAACGTTTTAAACACCTCAAAAGTTTCGTGTTCTCAATGGCTCATTCCCTTACTTCCTTGCTTCTCTCACCCTCTCTGCCTCTGCTGCTGCCTCGCTCTTTCGCTCTGACTGTGCATATTCATTGCACCTGGCGTCGACGTCGTCCTGCTGCTACTGCTGCTCTTGCTCCTGCCGATCCTTGTGCAAAAGTTAAGTGTTTCTTTAGCTTAATAACGGAAACATTTTAGTTGCTGTTGGTCGGTCGCTCGGTCGTTTCGGTGGTCGAATGGTTGGGTGGGGGGGGGGTAGCCACGGGGCGGCTGAGCGATACGATAGACGCTTACACATAAACACATTCAAATGCTTCCGGCAATGTGTAATAGCCTGTACAAGGACGAGCAGGTCCTGAGCTCTAGGTGTGCTGCTCCGGACTGCTGCTCCTCTTGTCCTGGCTTCGAATGCCCTCCAGTGGCTGTAAATAACTCGCAGCAGGTGCCCCATCCGTGCACCGTGCACCGTGCACCATCCAAAGACGTCATCAATGTTGCCAACAAGAAGGTGAAACAGAGAGAGCGCGTGTGTGTGTGTGTGTGTGTGTGTGTGAGACAACACTGGCCGGCTGCAGCTTGCGGCAACGTTTTCTTTTGATTACACGCCGTGTGGCCGCCTTCATTGTTCTCCCACACAGCGCCCCACAAGCCCGGCAACCACGCACTGCCAACCCACTGGCAACTCACCCTCTGCCACTGTCTGTCCTGGGAGCGACTCTTTCCATAAGTGCAAATGAGCATGAAAGATGAAATATTAAGAGTCGTCTTGGATTTTGTTTTTTTGTCGCTCCATGACTCCTTAGGGCTTCTACTCCGCTCTCTGCTCGCCTCCATCCACTGCACTCATTTGGCCAAATGCAATTTTCGCTAAGAGCGCATATCCGCCAAAACAGACACAAAAAATGGCAACGGCCAGTCGCAGGCAGCAGGCAGAAGGCTGCTAAAAACTTGGTCAAGTCAGCAAGTCGGCCAGCTACACAGCCAAAAAAAATTAAATAAATAGAGAGAAATAGTCGAAAGTTTGTCAAAATATTAAAAAATATATGTTGTATTTTATTAATTTATGTAGATTTAGATAAATATTGAAATATTGAATTTATTTATTATTTATTTATTTTGTTGAATTTTCTTGAGCAGCGCCCAAAAGTATGCAACGCTCAGTGGAGCCTCTGTGGCTGTGGCTCTGCGGCTGTGTCTTTCGGCCTCTGTTCAACTCGTTTTTTCTTCTGGTCGTATCTCGCTCGCTTGCTCTTGTGGCGCTGCATTCCCCAGTCGACCATCATGGGCCAGTGGCAGCAACATTGCCGCGTGAAGCCCTCTCGCACTCTCTGTGTCTCCTCTGTGGCCGGACGGCGCTTGACACAAGTTATGGGGCAGATGCATACCTCTTAACCACACTTACATGCAGCATGTGCTACTCCAAACCGAGGGGCGAGATCTAGGCGGTGCGTTGCAAGCGATAACCTGGAGACCCTAGCACTTGATCGACTTGGCATTTGACACTCACACACAATTGTGCCTCCCTTTATGTATATGCCTCTGGGGTAACATCCATCCATCCATTCATTCCTCTGTGCCGCTCTCTGTGTGGCAGCAGCAACATCCATTCCGTTGTGGCAGCAACCATTTTGCTGTTTGCTGCGACACTAAAATATTGTGTTGCAGCTTTTGCCTGAATTATCATTTGGCCGCGCCAAAAGGCAGCTGCCAGCCTGACCAGTTGGACACCTGACCTTCTGCTCACTCTCACTCTCTCTCTCTCCATCTCTGTTCATCTCTCTTTATCTCCCTGCTGCGCTCTTCTTTCTGCACTCGAGGTGATTAAATTTCCGCGCTAGAGAGACAGAGAGAGAGGCTCAGGGCGAGCGGCATTCGAGCATTCCATTTCCAGCGCATACAATTTAGTGAATAACTTTTAAGCAAAGCGCCTCATAAACTCTATCTGCCACCCATCTCTCTCCCTCTCTCTCTCTCTGTTTGACAGCACTCTTCTTGGCCTTAACAAATGGCTAGCAATAAACTAAACGCAGCAGATTACGACTAAGGTAGCCAGGGAAATGATTCTAAATGGAAGCACCAAAAACGCTGCATGGAAAAAAGGAAAAGGAAAACACGATGCTTGGGCATCTCCTGCGGACAATCGAAGTGACTATCGATGAGTTCGTGAAACCGATAAGAATACAACAAGAAGTGTAAAGATGTGTTGAATTGCATTCACAGAATTGCAAACATAATTTCGATGCTGATTTTTAATGGTAGAAGCCGAAGGTCCTTCCTGGAGTGTTCATCTCTAAATCGCTTACATGCATTGCCATCTCTTTTGCCAGCCATCTCTCGCTCCTGCTGTGAGTGTTGTGTGTGGTGTGTCCTGCCAGTTGATGTGTCCTAGCTCTAAGGATGCTTTTAACCAAACAACAAGCAGGGATAACAGCCAACAGCAGCCAACAAAAATGCTCCAACAACTTAAGCTTAGCAATGACAGTGGCGTGAAAGTGGCCAAACGAGAGAAAGGAGAAAGGTGGAAAGGGGTGTGTGCCTGTGTGTGTGTGTGTACGGTTGGAAGGGGAATGGGATGGGCTGGGATGGGGGTGGGAAAGGGCATATAGCGGATAAGCACAAAAACGGAGACAATGCGGAAAATTGTAAGACACTAAAATTGGCTAAAAGGACTCAACAGCCAAACAGGACAGGCAGTGTAGTATGTTGATGCTGTGCCACTGTCACTGCCACTGCCCCTGCCACCCCTGTGCTTGCAACACCGCCGTCTGCCCCACAACCGAATGCTGCCTGCTGCCTCCTGCCGTTGCTCCTGCTGCTGCTGCTGCTGCTGCTGCTTTGGGGCTCTTTGAGGGAAGGAACTCATAAAAGTGAGCAACAAATTTCATTGTTTATAGCCACGCTTCGGCTACATGTGTGTGTGTGTGTCTCTCTACTCCTCTACCTCTACCTCTACCTCCCCTTTCTGTTGCCCTTTCGGCTCGTGTCTTTGTGTTTTTGCAATTTGCTTGCCATAATGCCGGGCAATTTTGTGTTAGGCCCCTGCTCCTGCCGCAGCACTTACGCTTCCTCAGAGCTCGACTTGTGCCGCCCATAAATAAAAATTAGTTTCACTTTCATCTGGCACTTTCGCTTTCGCTGGGCCAAAACACTTCCGAAACAGTTCTACTTTCGGTGGGGAGGGGGGGCAGGGGCACCAAAACTATCCTGGGCCATGCCGAGAGTGAGTGATTTTTGTGTGGAGCATCGTGCAAAATATTCTGCATTAAAGATCCAACAAAATATGTGTGGTACTCAAAGACAGGACAAGATCATCCTTCAGTTCAAATCAGTTGCTGGCCACCCAAGAGACTCCTCGGTCTCCCCCTCGCCCTTTTGCTCTGTTCTTATTTATTAGAAATTCATTTTATTACGACTCCTTTTTGCACCCCTGCCTCGCGTGGTTAAGCAAAGCGTGAAATTAAATTTGACTTGCCTCCAATATCATTTTCATTTTCATAGTTTTTCCGTTCCGCAACCATAGTGCCAGGGAAGGGGTTTGCTATTCTAATAATAAAAAAAATATACTGTGTGGCCAGCGAAACTATGCACACACACACACACTCGCACATACGTGTGTGTGTATATGTATATGTTTTTTGGCAATTTTTTATGCTCCTGGGAGTTTGGAAATTGTAAAGAAAAGTCAGCGTGCGGAAGCGTAACGAACATTTTTATCCATGGCCATGGATTTTTACTAGGCCCTAAAATTATATTTTCATTGTTATGAACTAACCACCCCCAACCCCCACCACCCAACCAGGCTGCCGCCACACTAGCGCACCCTCTGGGGTTCCATGACATAAATGCCAGTCGGGAAGCAAACGAATCTACCGCCCGTTTGTGGCTGCTTGGCGAGCGCCGAGCGACTGAGTCCCGAGCTGGCTTCGTGGCCACTGCGATTGGGTCCTGTGGTGAGTACGCCGAGTGTGTGGTGAGTTTGGCAGCGCGTGGAAGTGGGTGGCAAAGCAACAGTTGGTCACTGGAAGCGCCTCTGGCACACAGGCTGGCATTGGGCATGGGAAAAACTAAGAGTCGAGCCGAACATTTTTAATTGCACAAAAGAAAACCAAAAGCTATAACTTATATTAGATAATTTGAACTGGTTACTGGAGCTGCTGCGAGCCAGCCGATGACTGAGGCTTATTTGAAGACTTCCAGTAGACGGCCTTAATGTGAGCACCTGGAACCTTGACGATGCCCAAGGGGAGCTTACGCTCCGAGGATGTATAGGAGCAGAGCAACTTGCTGCATTGGGTCAGAATAACATCTCCGTTGGGTGTCAGCATTTCCAATTTTCCCACAAGCTTGCCCCAGTTGCCGCCCTTGCTGACCAAGCAAATTTGAATCATTTCGCCAAAATATGGCAAAATGTTTAGGTAGCCCAGGCCAACGCTCTCCGCATTGACCTCGACGCGTGCGGGCAAGCCAGTGAGAATCTCGTACAATGGTGCATAGCGCGGATCATTATCATCTGGCACAGTCATTTTGTCTAGTTGCAAATGGGATGGGATAGTCGATGGCGTTAACAATTTTTAGTAGTAGTAATTACCTTGATCTTGACTCCCCGCTTGCACACTGAGGATGTGGCAACGGTATGTGCCTGCACAGTAAGCGTTATTAATTATAATTTAATTTAATTTATGTTAAATATTTACCTTCTAGCTTAGCCTTAATGTTAAGCAAATATTTTCCGAGAAAATATATTCGATGTGTCTCGTACACAAGCTGAAACGTTACTGACTGTGTGCCTGCCTGCCTGCCTGCCTGCCTGATATTGTGACAGGAACATAAACTGTCACTCGATAACAGGAACGAGACTAGTCGTAGCTGGTAGCACACTGCTTGCCACTGCTTGCCACTGCTTCGTCACCATTGACGAACATTTTAGAATCAAAATTATTCAACAAACTACAACTGGAAAAACTCAAAATCCAGATTGTGGCTTGCTGGAAAGCCTGGCCACAGGAGGGCACTAAACTGATTGGGCGCTCTGTGGCTGCTGGTCCGCTGGCCAAGCTGGTGCTGCACGACTGTGTGCAACATGCGGCTGAAGGTGCTGTGGCGCCCATGTACCTGGGCAACGTTACAGTGGCCATGCAAATGACCGAAGGCAAAGGGGTTCTCAATGGGGCTCGCTCCCCTAGCTGGCATTTGAAATCTGCTGTTCTCCCTCTGCAAGTTCTTACCAAAACGTATAATTTCTTTGGCCAACAAATTCTTTGGACTAATTCAAAGAAAGGCTCCAATTTAATGCAAATTTTATAAAATATCACATTTTATTCTCAGCCTGAGCATTTGCCTTCATTTTATTTAACACAAATTATTCATTTTGTTTAACACAAACACAAAGTACAGTTCGGCACACCAACAATTAAATACACTCCCGTGGATAGTTCAAAAATATATTTAATTCAATCGAAACTACATTGTTTGAAGTCACCTTTGGCACCTGCAGATCCTTGTTGAAGCGCATCCCGGTCTGTGTCTCTATGTCCTATAAGCTTACACGATGATCGCACAATTTGCCAACTGATTCGGCCTATCCAGCGGCTCCAGCGGCTTCGGTAAGAAATATTTAAAAAAAAGCTGGAACCAGCAGCTGCAATATCTTGTCCTTCAGCCCCAGCACGCCCTTCCACAGCTGCTAAGGGCGCAGGTTTCTGGTTACTACGCATACCTGAGGCCGAAGAGGAACCACCGGATATATGTAGCTTCTGGCGATTGGCTGATCCCCCTTGATCGCATTGAATAGCTTCTCGATGGATACCTCCTGCTGCAGAAAGCACCGAAAACGAAGCCAGTGATTCCAAACAGAACGTACCTGGCAATACCTTGGGGTTCTGTCATGGTGTTTAGGTCTTCAATTGTTGACCAACTAACACTAATATTAACATTAATTTAAAAAGCGCTTATTAACTGTCGAATTTTTCCGAGAAAATGTATTTTTCTAACAGTATGTCTAGGTGTAGGTTCTATTGCATTATGAAACATAATATATTATAAAATAAAATACTATTCTTGAGAAAACTGGGCACAGGGCACTAGTTAATTCCCTTGAGCTGTCTCTTAAGCGCTTTTAGCGCTTAGCAGCCCTGTTAACAGCAAACAGCACTGTTAGCAGACCCGCTTAACAGCAAATGAACACTTTCCTTTTACAGCTAGTGAGACGAAGCGCACTGTAACCGCTTGCCTTTAACAGCGCACTGTAACCGATCGCATTTAACAGCTTATGACCGCTCTGCTTTAGCAGCGCACTGTAAGCGCTTGCCTTTAACAGCGCACTGTAACCGCTCGACTTTAACAGCTAGTGACTGCTGGCTTTAGCAGCCCACTGTTAGCGCTCTCCGAGCTTTGGCCTTACCGCACCCGCACCCAATGTGATCAGACGATTTGATGTACATAATTCGCACTCAATCGGAGCACAACTATATCTACACAGATTGCACACGCTGCATTCTTTTGGGTTACAAACTTCTACACAATTCGCATGTACACTCCAGCAAAGACATGAAAATTTGGCATAAAATATAAAGAACAAAATGAAAGCGACAAAACGCACACCTAAAGAATGATACAAAATTGCTTGCTGCTTCTGCTGGACAATGCGATGCAATTTGAAATCTAACGAAAATAGTGAACGCACAGAAAAAGTTTACATTTCTATTTTGCTTTTGCTTACGACTTTGGCTCACCGTGTTTTTTATTTTCTTTGTTGCAAGGTTTTTTTTGCAAAATTAATATATTTAAAATATGCAAAAATATCGGGGGTATAAGAGGCATGGTGTTGGGAATGGATGTAGAGGTGGTTATATAACAATAATATGAAAAAGGCCGACAAAATACTTTAACAAATACCAAAAACCGACATTTTACCAACTGCATATTACGTTATGCATATTTCATTTATGCCCAAAACAAATACACAATGCAGGACCCACAGGGACCCAGCCGGCCGCACCAGGGGGATTGAATGGCTTTGCCCGGTTCCGACTGACTATTTACGGGTTTAACTCAAAACTTCAGATACTCTTCGTGGCAGATCTCCGAGTGCTAACTGCTGGCTCCTAACTGTTTTGATGCAACCCATTAATGGGCAGAAACCTCTGCAGATCTCATGGATATTTCGGTACATTTACGGACATACTCTGTAGTGGTGGAAGACCCAATGCAATCCTTCTAAGCCAACTGACACATACACCCAAAATTGTAGCAGGGCATACGGGCATTGCATCTGCATCTGTCGGCATTTTTGCATTTAATGCCATAAAAGTTTATCTGCAAATGTGTCGCTGGGAGGCATTGGTGTACGTGTTTCTGTGCGCCTGTGCGTCTGTGTGTGGGGAATTGCTACTTTTATTTTCAGTATTTTAATTAAATAAAAATTTATTTGTTTACACACAGAGACGCAGGGACAGACAGATAGACCATACAGATGGACAAACAGACAAACAGACAGACAGAGAGAGTGAGTCTGGGACAGAAGGCGAACAGAGGCGAATCAACGAACTTAATTGAGACCATTTTGTGCAATTTTGCTCTCGTTTACATTTCTCCAACTTCACACTCCACACTCCACACTCCTCGACTCTCAACTCGGCTCGACTACGTCCACACTTTACTTAATTAATCACACAAAATATGTATGGAGGGATGGCAGAACGAAAGCAAGCGCCTGGAAAGGCGGCAAAAACATGTAAATTGGAAAAGGAATTTATCCCACAATTTATGGTGCAAATCCTACAGCTGGCACTTTGTTTTACTTTCATTTTCAAATACAGTCACATACATTTTTGTGCTTCCATAGAATGCGAATCCATTCGGCTCCACAGCCGCCAAATGTGTCTATTTAAAATGTCTCTCTTTGGAGCGGATATTAAGGGGCATATTGGACGGCCCCCCTTTAATTACAGGGCAGCCACAGGTCGATCCACACACCCTGTCGCAGTCACACTGCAATTGTTTTTATGCATTTCTATAAATTTAAACCATTGCTTTTCCGGTTTTAAATGTCGCAGCCCAAAACTTACATTTCGAGCACATTTCCGGCGTGCAAATGTTTTTACGTATAGTTTGTTTATAATTTTTGTTGTTGCCGTGGGTTTATGGTTTCGTTTTTCGCGTTGTTTTTTCGCCATGATAAACATATCAAAAAATGTTTAGTTTTATCCGAAAATAAATTGTGCAAAAAATGTGTCTCTGTTTCGGCATACACTCACCCCAAACAGAGGCTACTGCTATTTTGAGGAGTTTTTGGCTACAGCAACTCTTCAGTTTTTGTTATTTTATGGGTATTTATGTATCGAGGACCTCAAACTCAGTCGACTCCGTCTGTGTTCCATTGTTTTTGTACACGCACTTTGCCAAAGATTTCGTGTTGCAATGAGTGAAATAATTTGACTGAAATTTGGAATGTAGTTTAAAATTGGCTGAAAAAAACAGTCTGTTACAAATTAATTTAATTTACCCTTAATTTAATGAATTTGCATGGCAGGGTATCTAAGGCTTCACCTTCAATTATGGCTCTTTTCTCATCTTTTGTCCGGCACTTCTTTCATTTTTGCAGTATCACAGAAAATTAAAATGAAAATACAAAAATATCACAGTAAGAGAGTGGCCGGTTATAAAGGGTGTAAAGGGGGGGGTTGGGGAGGGGCGCTCTGGCTCTGTGTTTGATGGTGTTATCGCTGGCGTTGTTTTTGTAGTCGTTGCTTCTGACAAAACGTTTCAATTAGTGCGATTATTACATAAGGCAACAAAAGCAACACAAAACCCAAAATCGTTTTTGTCGCCTGCAATTTGTTTCGTTTCTTTCGCTCTCCTCTCCTCTCCTCTCATCGCCACTCCATTCCACTCCACTCCTCCCTAGCTTTACTCTTTTTTGTGACCGTTTTGTAAGTGTTTCAGTGTTTATTTGTTAGCCGTTTGACGTTTATAACTCACTCGACTTCTCATAGTGTGAGTCTCTGGTTGTGGAAGACTTAACGAAAACGTGTCCATCCATACAGCGAGGTATGTAAATACAATGCTGTTTTTAAACATTTTTAACCATTAGTTTCCATGTAATCGACTGTCTAGTATGGAATATGCAATGCAAAAAAAAAAACTCTGACCCTCCAGCAGATCAAGGTCTGCTCTGCCGCCATCCCTGGCGAGAGGGGAGCTACGTGCATCGCTCCGATCGTTGACAGCCATAAGACGAAACGACACCTTGCGACCGTGTACATATTACATTTCAATTACTCTTATGCCTGAGCTTTATGCTTGGTTATGCTTTTCTTACACCAAAGAAATCGGACTGCGCGTCTGAGGGCGGGCCCCCTTAACTCTGATCTCTGGCCATGCACACGCTGCGCGTTGCTTGGTTTCCATTCCGCTGCTGTCGGATCAGCTCTCGGCTCCTCTGCTGCTGCTGTCTCTGCTGCTGGCTCTTATGCAATGCAGCAGCAGCAGCAGCAGCAGCAGCACTCTCTTACAGCCGCTGCCTCTGCAGCACTTGCAGCTTGTGCCGTTTGCAGCGCTTACTCTGTCAACGCTCAACGAGAGCTTTGGGCTTGGAGTTGCTCTCCCGCTGTCGGCCGCTCTTTACGTCTCTGCCTGCATTTTGAAGCACGACTTGGCACAGTGGGCATGACCATCATTACTGAGTTGAGAAAAGCACATTGAAGCTGGTCACGGGTAGATTTTTCATGCACTGTATAAAACAGTGTTTTGGCAGCTACGATTACAATTAACGTTTCTATTAATTTATGTTGAATTCGAACAAGTTTCTATTGATCCACCCAATGCTCGGTATGCCTTTTTATGTTCTGTTTCAGACTGGATAGACGCCACTGTGCCGCAGTCCGGTTCGGGCCGCCCCGCCCCGACTCGCGCTGCCAGCGTCTGCCGATGTCGACGCTGAAGCCGACGCTGCTGGCAACTACGTACAAAAAATAGCATTTTTTTTGGTGTAGCTTATTTTTTAAGTTTAAACAATTTGGCCGCCGCTTAGTTCTCTTTCGCGTGCGCCAAAACCCAGTAACCAGGTAGCCCGGCCAACAAATATTTCTCCAGCGCGGCGCCACGACAATTTCGCTATAGAATTGTTTTTGATTAAAAAATCAATTAAAATAAACCAGCTTAACGATAATTTTGCGATTTCTAGTATTATTGATCGGTTTTCGATAGTGTTTTCGGTTGTTTTCGAGTGCTACAGATCCATTTTCGATTTGNTCCCCCCCCCCCCCCCCCCCCAATTAATTGATTGATTGATTGACCGCTTGATTAGCGAGCCGAGCCGCGTGAAAGTGAGTTTCAGTGTTTGTTTTTATCACTTCAATTGTTGTTTATTTTTATGTGATTTATTTTTTGTTGTATATCATTTCTGTGTTGCATTCCGAATTGCAAAATATTTTTCAATGTCCATTTGTTTGTTTGTTGATGTGCTTGTGGTTGGGAAATAGCTGTAAAGCCTAACCCCTGACTGACCCACTACAGCATTGGGCAAGAGTGCGTGCTGAAAGCGAAAACTTATATGTTATTTTCGGCAATTCCAAGCTCACGCAAAACCAAATGATTTCGCTCTGAGTTTATATCCATAAGATCTTCAACTATTCAGACATAAGCCATCGAAGTTTTTGAAGTAAGTTGTCAACATTCAATAAACATTTAATGGGACTTCATAAAAATACAGTCTTGACCCCGAAGCGAAGTTATTGACGCCATGGAAAGCAATTTTCCTACAGATCAGGTTTCCCTTGGTCCAGTTCGAGGTGCGACAGGTGCGCCGTAAAAGGTGTATCTGCCATGTATCATGGGAATTTCAACAAAATCCATCGAAATCTTGAACGGAACGGCCTTGAGATCCAAACAAATGCCGAAAGATCAACAAACACAGAAATAAGAAAATAAATAAAAATGTTAAAAAGGTTGATTTTTGGCGGATTCCGAATCGGTTTCGAATGGGTTTCTCGTTGGATAAAGACGTCAGTCTATGGACAGGGGGGCCGAGACGGAGTCTGACGTCGAGACTGAAACTGAAACCAAAACCGAGACGGCAACGGCAACGGCGACGCATGCGCAGCGGAGTGTAAACAATTTTGACCCAATTGACGAGCTCCACTTGCCTCACCGCTCCCCTCAGACCACTCAGACTGCTGTAGATTGACGCATTCGCCTTCAGAGCTTATGCAGCTGCCCCCAAACGTGCCCCCGGCTGCCCCTGGCTGCAGTCGATTATGCAACGCGCAGAAAAAAGATGAAAGATGCAACATGCAATTTGTGCAAATTGATAGAGTCTCACGTCATGAGAAAGAGAGCTCAAAGAGATCACTGAAAATGGGAGATAGGCATAACATCTTGAATGCAAAGGTTTAATAGAAAATCGATATAAAAGATGCCCATTACAGTCAGTCCATTTCCTACAACCAATTAAGGCCAATTAGCAGCTAATTGGTAGCTAAGAAGCTCCCACAAATTGTCCCCCAAAAGGTGCCCAAAAATAGTTTCAAATAGCCAAAGTCGCCAATTGACTGCTAATCAAAGCGCAACAGAAAACGAAGGCCAAACGACCCTCGGGCCATCAATTACCACCTGTCAATGTTAAATCCGTCTTGCCGGTTACCATTTAGGGACGCTGCACTGACCAATTGGCCCAAAGAATTTGGTCAAAAATTAATAAAACAAAACGTCCGAAAATGTTCAAAGTTGGGCAAGAGCCATGCGCGACCTTGACGTTTTTGGTTGGGTTTGGTTTTTTTGGTTGTTTGTATGAAAGTCAAGGTCGAGCTTGGAGTTTGTGTTTTTTATGCCCATTCGTTTATTGTCGTTGATAGTTTTGTATGCCCTTCCAAAGGTTAGAGCGCAATCGATGAATTTTGTGCCATAGACAGCGGGCAATATACAAATCTGTGATAGATACTCTAAGATAGACATACATGGTTCATCCATTCGTGGGAATTTGGAGTGCGTCTATTAAATCTTAAAGTGTATCTGCAGCTTCGACTATTGGTAGTTTTTTGTTGCCAATTGATTAGCATTTGCTGTCGCGGTTTTATTTGTTGTTTTGATTACATTTTGAGGGTTCATTTTAATTGTTTATTTTCATCGAATTTTATGACAATCATTGCCGGCGGCGAGGGATACAAATTGATGAGCCACGAATGAGAAATTATTATCCGAGGATGCACTTGAGTATTATTGTTGTCCAAAAAGTGTTTTGGGTATATAAACTTGAGTATGCATGAACGTGGCACCTTAACGATGCCATGGTAGTGGAGCACAGTGTTGGCGGTCATCTCGACACAGTCCTCCAGCACGACATCTCCGGTGAATGTCTCCATGGCCACCACACCGTGTAGGAAGCGTCGCACACCCTCCGCGACGGATGCTATCTCCAATTTCAGATACCGTGCCTGTCCGATAAACCTGCCAGTGTCGGGATCGTTGGGAATGCTTTCGAGGACCTCAAACTCAGTCGACTCCATCTGTAATAAGAGAATGAGAATGCTTCAATCATCAAGCTTTAACTCTTCCTAATTCTCACCTGTTTTGCGCCATTCACTGCCATTTGGAATTTCAAGAGACTCCTTTGCTAGGGCGAATGCTTTGCTCTTTGCCTGGGAACGCGTCAGTTGCATCAGCAACACAATTATCAGTCCGCTTCAGTAATGGCAAATCTGGTGACCAACAAATGTATTTATGCAGCTGCGAAATATATTTACAAGCTGTAAACAAGGGGGCGAACGACAATATCAGCAAAAGAAAGCAAAGCAAAACAACAAACAAGTCGAAGCCTTGTATACCCTATTGCAGGACAAGGACAATCTGGACGCTATACACTTTAGTGAAGTGCAAACTTTTGGCTGAAGAAGTTTCTTTTTCTTGTTAACTTAAAGATGCCGCCCGTGCCGTCCCCTCTCTCTTTCTCTATCAATATGAACGAGTATGTTTTATTTATTGACTCTCTTTTGGAGCCCCTGAAACGGCAGGATGCCGCCTTTTGACAGTTGGCACGTAGTCTTGGCCAAGACGCAGCGGCGGCAGCAGCAGCAGCAGGAGAGTCCGCCGCATAAAATGTACCAAGACGATGGGGGCGTATACGTAATATGAGTTATGAGCCCGACTCGATGATCACGTAGCCGCCTTCCCCATGTTGGCTCTTGGTGTCCTTGGCGTCCACATTCTCCTTCCGCTATGACTCCCCACTCCCTCATCCACTCGGAATTTTCTTGTGAAATAATGTTAATGCCAAACAATTAAGTACGAGGGGTGGAGGGTGGGCAGCCCCTGCCCTGCCCTGCCCTGCGCTACCACCATGATTGCAAATTTAATTACAACTGTAAACAATTTTCTTTAGCCGCCCCCTGTCCACCCCACGAAAGAGACACAAACAAAGCAATTTTTCCTTTTGTTTTTTATGATATTTTTCCGTCCCATTTTCCGTGTGCGTGTGTGTGTGTGTGTGTGTGTGTGTGCGGCCATTAGCAGGGGCCAAAACTAAAGGGAAAACTGCAACGGCACACTGAAGAGTGAGGGTGGGCAGGTCAGGGCTGGTACGCGCTGAGAAAAGCAATTTTCCGGTTGAGTTTACAAATGGCGGGCGCGGTAGCGTCTCTACCCGTCCCGGGGTACCGGGGTACCGGGACCCCCGGTTCCGGCGCTGAAAATAAATGACATATCACAGAGTCTGGTCACCTTTATGGGATGCCCAAAGTAAACATATGAAAGCAATGCCCAGATGGATGGTCAGTCCGTGGGGGTGGCGTGCTGGCTTGGTGGTGCACTATGGTAGATGGTGTACGTATGCCAGGGGGGCGGTGTGCTGTTTTGATGGGCTTGCCCCGTTCAGTCATGAAACTGGTTCAGGTTCAGATGGGGTTTTTGGATGGTTTAGGGTTTCGAGAGTCAGTTTTTCATACAAAATAGATTCGAATTTACACGATCTCTATGGCTTTACTTTCTCCACCTTTAACTATCTTCCTCCATTTACTTATCTCTGCGTCCGTGTTTGCATTTAAAGGATGTGTATGCCTACCCAGCGCTGCCCCCACAAGATATCAATAAATGGTTTCCCCTTCATTTGCAGGCAGCTCTCGTAGCCCTGGTCGGTATATCGTTGTTTACACTCGCACACCCACATGCACGCACACACCCACACAAGCACACAGAGAGATACACACAGAGGACAGTTATGAATGGCAATCCATTCGCTTAATGGAATTTCGTGTTGTTTAACTTTTACGTGGCGCCAAAGTCATGCAAGCGAATGGATGATAGCCCCCGTCTGTCCCTCTATTACACACACACACACACACAACACACATAACACACACACGAACACAGAACACACGTGTTTTTGGGGCGTCCTTGGCAGCTGTTTGCGGGTCAACTTGGAGTCACCCCTTTCCCCATTCCACCGCATAGAACATCGTCATAAAGCTTTATTAGCATTTATTATGCAAGACTTCTGTTGGGTCAAGTTTCTGTCTGTGTTTTAGTTTTATGATCACTTTCGACTCGACACCTGGCCCCGCCCATCACACTGTGGCCACTTGGCCATGTTTTAATTTCAATAAACGCACATTTTATGACTCCTCAGGTTTATGGCCACCTCTGACCACCTTAGACCTCAGGTTTTTGGCCACGAGTTGGATTTATTTATCTTTAATTTCAGTAGCCGAAGGCCAAACTTCAAACTCCATTAAACGAATAAGACGACGGGGTGAGAGAGGGTACAGGGAAAGCCATCTATGGGTGTGTAATCTAATAGAATTTCGGGAACCAACCCACAAATCGACATTCAACTATGCATGTAAAAATTTAAAAATCATGTCATACTTTCAGGCTTCGTCAAATAAAGAAATGTAGGAATGGAAATACATGGTAGACATTTAGGTAAATGCCATAAGGCAGTGTGTACTATGCACTCAATTTTGTGTACAAATGCATGACTTACCGCTCAATGTACGGACCTCATAGTTTCCAGCATTCATAAATAAATTTGTGTAAAAAGTATTTTTGCAGTTTCTGGCAGTTCTGGTTCTACGTTGTGGACACTCACATCATATCTAGCATAGAGCAGCACTTCCTGAGTAGAGTAACTCTTATAGGAGACTGCGTGACTGTTGCTATGGTTAAGTTTCCGATACTCTCGGCTGGACCATGCAGAGAAATGTAAACGGTTAGAGAAATAGCAACCTCTCACTTTTGAGTCACTCAATTTTGCCGGCTGGCAACTTGGCTGCATTTCACAAGTCCACACACAGACGCACTGCAATACGCTCATGTAAGCGCAGTTTATTTTTAAATATTTACGTTCTCAAATTTGTGCGAGCGGATTTCGTCGCTTTTAAAATGTACAGACGTAACTCATCTTTCTATTAAATATATATATATATGTACATACAAATGTGATTGCCATTGTCCATACTATACCATTTTACAATATCTCTTCTTCCCTCATATGAATGTGGTTTTGAGGTGTAGCATAAATTTTGTGGGAGACCGCCCATGAAGGCTACACACGCACACACCAATCGCTGCCGACTTCGCAGTCGACGTCGACCACATATCGAGGACATTTAAATCGCTCTTAAGTCCCGTTTAATTGGTACTTAGCATGCAAATGCGAAATGAGGCAGCGATCCCAGGCCAGCCAGCAATTGTCGTGCTCACTCTCTCCTTCTCTACATCTTTCACTCTCAATCTCTTTGTCTCCTTTTGTGTGCATATGCCTGTGAGCTCGAGTGTTTGTATCATTAGTTACATGTGTATGGACGAACATACATCCATGAACAATATGCAAGGCTGTGTGCATTACACAATTAAATTCACCTTCAGTATGATGACAGTGACGAACTCAAAAAGCTCAAGGAGCGATAAATCACAGTTGTTCTCTTCGCAAACTAAGAGTTGGAGCAAATGGCATTACAGCAATTAATCTGGAAGGGTATCACAAGGTCGACCCCTAAGCTCGTAATTGTTTCATGTCTTCCGTTGCCCCGCTGGCAATGCCGGTCACTTTGTCCTGCTTATGTGCAACTGTACTTACTCACGCAAATAGTGTGAGCACGAGAGAGAGAGACCGAAAGCGTCGTGTGCATGAGAGCAGAGCGTGAGAGACTGGGAAAGAGGGACACCCACTTGGTGTGCTTGAAAGAGAATGGAATCGCAACCCATCGAATCAAATCAAATTAAATTGAAATGCCATGCAAAAATATTTTGAGAGCAGACGGACATAGAAAATTGATTGATTTTTGGCTTTTGCAGTGAAGCGCTCACGCCTCCGCCTCCGTCTCCGCTGCCAAACAACCGACCATGCCCACACCCACACCCACCCATTGATACATATAATTACAAAGTACCGTTGGCCAGTTGATGAGCCCGTTGGAAAACATAATCAAGAATGCGATTCTCACTCTCTGCATCTGCCTCTGCCTCACCCACTCTCTCTCTCTCTCTCCCTTTCTTCTTCTACCCGAAAAAGTTTTAATTTCAAATGAAGTTTGTGCAGGGAAGGAGGGGCGGAGCGGTGCGGGCAGGACAGTCGGATGGGCAATAAAATAATCAAAGCGTGCACAAAAGTGCAACGGGAATTGCCGAAAAACTGGTTACAAAAGTAAGCAAAATCCAGCCAATGTGGAAGATGGGCACTGGGAGCGGTGGGGCAGGGGTAAGGAAATGCCATCAGCCGAAAGCAAGAGGAAGCCAAAAAGCACAGGGCAAAAGGAAGACAGATAGCGAGTTGGAAGGTAGAGTACCGAATTCTGGGCACCCTTTACTTGAGATACTTTGATGTGTGGATAGCTGGGAAAATATTCATGGGCGAAATAAGCAACTAGTCCACACATGAAAAGCCCTTGTTTAAGAATCAATAAATATTTCTAATCAAAATCGGACTAAACCAGACCAACTCCGGCAGCACTTACAGGGTATTCGTGCTAGAAAAAAAGGGTTTGCCCAGCTGCGGGCTAGTGCAAAGTTACCTGTGACAGAGGAGTGCCGAGGAGAGCAAAGCAGGGGAGCACCGTAAGACAGAGAGCGGCACTGACGGTGCAGACAAACTTAACTGGAAATCTAGTCGAAAAATGGGCAAAGTTGCATCGGTCGAAGAAGCGAGTGCGGGCCAGTGAAGCACAGGAGAGCTGCCCAAATACCGATGCCGTTGGTTCGTAATGAGACAGTCAGAAGCAATGAAAGCAGAAAGACAAGGACAGCTAATATGCGCCATTAGGGCATAATTAAAATGCTCAAGCCGAAGCAAAGGCAGAGCCAACAGGAACAACAACAATAGCACCGAAAAAGCTGATAACGACAACAAGATGAAGAAGAAGAAGCAGGTACGTATCGAGCTGGAAGTGTGAGAGAGCAGCGACAACTTTTCTAAGGCGAACCCAAAGAGAGAGAGAGAGAGAGAGCTTAGGGCCAGGGCAAACTATTTTTACTTAAAGGTGAGGCCTATGCAACCAAAACTGTTTTCATTGTGTGACAATAAGAACTAGGCCTAGAAAGGAGAGCAAATAAGCGTATGTATCCAAGTGATTGCCTTACCTTATATTTATTATACCCTGTGGTTGCATTTATTGTGATACGTGAGTGGGACTGCAAAACAACAGTTACAATTTATTTGCATGCGAAAACAGCACAATGAGATCGCGCCTATGAAGCACTGCTAAAACTATGAGCGGGAGAGCGACAAATAAGAAGATCGCATCAAGGGCCAGAAGCTTAAACGTAGGATGATTACAGTGGAGCATGGCTAAAGGTTAAATAAGAGCTAACATACACCGTATGTACAAGCATAGATTGAATAAGAGTTAATTATGAATTGCAGTGCATACCGAACAAAATCTAACATGAAAGCTTAACACAGTAGATAGAATTTTAGTGAAGTTGTAGTCTTTCAGTGCTAGTTGAATGCTTTTACGCAATGCCTTCGTCATTTACTAAATTTACTTGTATTCTGTAGGGAATGGAAAAAACAAATCACAGCCAAGCATTACTTCGCTCTCCGCACCACTCTACCCGCTTAGTCACTCTCTGATTCCCTTGTCCTCTTTCCCTCTGACTATTTCACTTTTCTCTGGCAATCTATGCAATGAATTTTGGCAATTAAGCAATCATTTCGCTTATATGCTAAACGAAGGGGAGCAGCAGAGAGCTGGCCGAAGCAGAGGCAGAGGCCAAAGCCGCTGCAGCAGAGAAAACTTCTGATTGAAAGACGCTGGCAGAGCTGAAGTACATTCGAGATGTTATCAATACAAATCTACATTCAGTCATACAGACTTCCACATGCATATACACCGACGTATGCAATTTCTTTACCTAGCAGAGGGTACATTTATTTTGAGATAATTTTGCAGAAAGGGAAGCATGTACTTAATGGGCTTTCTTTTATATATTTAAAGTGAAATAAGTAATTACATTAATTAATGATATTCAAAGTGTTCCCAGTGTACCCATGTTCATTATGTCTCTGCGGTAAGGGTATCCAAAGCTTCGGCTGGCTAACCGTTTCTGATCGCCCTCTCTTTTTCTCTGCTTTGCTCTTGCCAGGCTGATGATTGCCTTACGGTACAACAGGCAATCTATGGGAATAAAGATATGCATACGTGTGAGTGTGTGTGTGTGTGTGTGTGTGCCATGCATTTTTATGGCATTGCTCTTGGCAGCAGCAGAAGGAATGTCAAGGGAAGGAACGGGTAGGGTAGCAGCACAAGTACATGGAAAGCTCTCACTCGAAAAAGCAAAAGTTTTCACTTCAAGTAGTTTTTTCGTTATACTTGGTTTTTTTCGGGCGTTCCACTGTCGTTACTGTTGTTGTTGTTGCTGTTGCATCATCATTGGCCTGGCAAAAGAGTTTGAGCTCTTGAGTAGCATTAAAGCATCAAACGATTGTTTACGAGGAAGAGAGTGGAGAGCAGAGTGAGTGTGCGATTCGATTCGATTCTCTTCGTTACCGAGGTACGCAAACTGAGAATAGATCTCTTTCTGGCTCTGATTGTGAAATTTCGTTTTGCAGCTCAACTCCAATCAGCCATCAAACTGGGATATTTATGGGGCCATAACCATGCCCGCCATGGCATCACAATTCCATTCTCTTTCGCTCGCTCTCTCGCTCCATCGCTCTATCCCATCAATCAGAGAAATGAAGTGGCAACGTTTCTGGCAAATGGGTCTAACCATCCATCCGACTGTTTGACTCTCCGCCTGTCCGTCGCTCTATTAGCCAGCCCAATATATTCACTCATTTCCAGCCAGATTTCTCAAACAGAAGGTAGTACAGGGAGGATGAAGGGAGGCAAGCGATTGAGTTACAGCTGTGGGAATGTTTCCTATAATTCCTATAATATTTTTGCAACTGTAAATATTTGTATGCCCTTGCAAAGGGTAAACCCATTTATCAGATAGCTTTGCCATGGATAGAAGAGAGTCTCTTAGGATCTCCCTTGCACTCAATCCGCTCTCACTTGCTCGCTTTATCCACGTGAGACTTGAACGAGAGAATATATTAAACTACAGAATTAAATTTTCTTAAATTTGAATCTACAAAAAATGAGTGTACAAGTGTATCCAAAGCTTCGGCTCGCCTTTCGCTCTAGTAAACAACTTAATCTAGCTATAATTTCATCAATTTAGACTCAAATTTACATATTCTGACCCTCCATGTTTTCCACAGCCCGATTTCGCATTGGCTGGCAAATGTATTGCATTGTATTTTTGCAGAATTGCAGCATAATGACGCACGGCACACAAAATGCAGCACAAAATGCTCCCCTGCGAGAGAGGCAGAGAGAGAGAGAGGGAGAGGAATTGAAACAATTTAAACTATTTTTACATTGCATTGAAAATTATGTCCGAAACAATTAAGCAGAACGTTTCTGGCTTTTGCCCCCACGCCCCTACCCAGAGTGGCTTGCGGCCCGAATGCTAGTTTCTATTAACTCTTTGGCCCCAAGAGGCTTAAAAGGCAATCACATACAAATACACACGCACACGCACACAATGTCATACGCATTAAATGGCATTTGGATATTTGGATATTTGGTTATTCGGATACTATATTTGGCTGAACAACAAAAAATATAATTAAAATGTTAAAATTTATTAAGCTACTTTTGCAATTTTCCTAATTACGCGCATTAAAAAGCAAAACAAAATGAAAATTCACACAATTATGAAGGTGAAGGGGGAAAAAAGTTGACTTTCATTTTTGCAAATTTGTTTGTCCCGCAATTTCCGACATCACAGCAGAGGGTACATTTTCTTCGTTGTAATGGAATTATGCTAAATCAAACAAAATGCAACTGCAGTTTTATGAATACCTTAAGCAGGACGTAGTTACAAACTACAAATGGAATGTGTTGCAGTACTAAAGTACTTTCCCATTGTGTTATTTAATTCAATTTCCCTGATTTGGTGTTTCGTTTGTAATTTTTTAGAATGCAACACAGCAAATCCCTCAACTTAACACTGCTGGTCTGCCTGCTGTTAATGGGCCTGACCATGGCCCAGGAGGATCGCTCCTCGAACGCACCCCATGTGAGGCACAAGCGTGGAATCTTTTGGGACTTCTTCCAGAAAATGGTCATCACAAAGAACCTGATAGTGGATGTGAGTACTCCGAGTGGATGAATACCATTTTTGATCATTTAATATTCCTTTTGTGAATCAACAGCAATACACGGACACCAGGAACACCCTGAATGACATTTACAACACGTTCAACGAGCAGTTCAGCGATCCGGGCCCCGAGAAGCCCACCAATCGGCCACGCACCACAACCGAGAAGTCGGTAAGTATTCTTAGGATCTGGTCTCTCTCTTGATTCATTCTCTAAACTCCGACACGACACAGTCCATCAGTGGGGAGGAGAGCGGAGGTGGGAGCAGCGATGAGCCCACCACCACGGAAGGATTCCAGATATCCCGCTACGAGCTGGGCCGTATCCTGGGTCGTAACTTCCGAGGCTTGCAGCGACTGGCGAAGAGCGAGTTCGAAGTGGCCCTCAATGTGAGTCGCTCTCTCAGCACTTGAACTTTTCGTTATCCTTAATCCGCTCCATCCATTCATCCATCCACAGGCCACCAAGTACAATCTGATGGAGTACAAGGCCGAGGCGGATCAGCAATTCGCCAACAGCCTTGCCGTCGAGAAGAAAAACAAACTGAAGAGTCTCAAGGGCTAACACTTGTAGGACCTTCACCCATCGTAACCCCCCTTCACCAGTGCCTGATAGTAGTTGTCTCTGTGATAGGCTTCCTGCATAAATATGTACATAAATATCTCTATTCTCTTTTTTTTTTTTTTGGTTATTTATTTGTTTGGTTATGAAATAAAGTCGGGAATGTGAATGGATGAATGTCCCCAGACGCAAGCGAAATACGCATGGTGGTGTCTGCGACTATTTTTGCTTCAAATTAAAAAGTTTTCTGTCATAATTTTATTGATAAACTTTTAAGTAAAAAAGCGTCGCACGAAACTGTAACACTGGCCAAAAATGGAAAACAAGCCCCCGCCCATACTCACCACCATTCGCCCATGAAGAAGAAGCTCGAAAAAGAAACAGGAAACACTCGGTACGATGGAGAAGAAGGAAGAAGAGAAGCAACGAAACTTGTGGGGAGGATAAAACATGAAAATGGGCTTGGCCAGATGCATTCCAGCTTTCACCATCGCGTAAATACATTTTTGGAGAATTTACTAGAATGCTTACACACCAGAGAATACTTGAAACATATTTTTATATCAATAAAAAAAAACATTCTCAAAAATACCAAGAACCGATTGAAAAAACGGAATTCCAAAATTTCTAGTAAATATCATAAAATACTCTACAATCGTGGTATTATTTGGAGTATTTTCCAGAAAAATACAATCAAAGAATTCGCAACGAAAACTAAAAACAGAAATGCCCCACGTATCTACATATCTCTCTCTCTCTCGCTTTCTCGCTGTCTCTCTGTCTGTCACTCTTCCCCTCTCACACATACCTACACATGAATGCAAGTTGCTGTTGCCTGAAATCGAAGTAAAGTTGCAAACAAATCCAAAAGGCAAAACTTGCTAAAATACAAAGACAGTTTTGGGTCTGCTGTCTGCTCTTTCTCTGGGCCGCTAGGGCCTCTCCTGGTTGGTTGGGTCCCTGGAATAGTTCGGAGAAACCACTAAAAGTGTCATAATTCGATGCCCATGAGATGGCTGTCTCGAAAGTACGTTGGCCGACAAAACTTTGGCGGTAATGACTGTCGTTCGCCCTCAGTCGTCCTCAGTCCATTCTTGGGCCCCGGCCCTCGGTCCCGGGCACCCCTCACAACAACCGCCAACAGTCGTGCGGTGCAACTGCGCGTATGAGCAACCTGCCTGTCTGCAAAGTTCTGTCGCAAAAAAAAACGTAAAATAAAAATAAAATATCAGCAAGGCGAATATTTGGCCAGAAACTTATCGAAAGTGGAAAGTGGAGTTCGAGTTTTGAGTTCGAGTTGAAGTTGCATTTAGAGACTCGCGGCAACATGCTGATGGCTGATCTAAAAGCCAGCTTACACAAATATCCCCATAGATAAACAGATACATAAACGCTTTAATGCCACTTTGTTTTCTCAGAACGAAATTAAGATCTCTCCTGTCAGATTCTGCTCCATGCGCCATTTGAAAAGTCATTTCGACACTTCAATGTGATAATCCGATTTATTTTGTGTTTATTCTCACTTCGAGTTTGTTTTGTTGATTATGACAGTGAGTCAAACATGTTGATTGCTGCCTTAATTGTTTCTGGTTATTTTTTGGGCTGACAAACGAGACCTGAACTGGACCGCTGGCCGCTGTCAGTTATGGGCAGTTTCAACAATAGAACAATTAGTTTAACAGCAATGAAAACAGCCTCAACTCTGACAGAAAACCAAAAAGTAAAACGCTTTTGCGGAAGTGAGTGAAATGAAAATGAGTAGCAAAAGTCCAGCCAGCCAGCAAGCGATGACTGTATATGGGATCGGGCTTATGTAAGTCGTAGTAAGTCAACAGAACAAGTTCAGACGATCAGACGATCAGCCTGCAATTAGTAGCGGAAGCAAACTCTCATTTAATTGGGTTCAATTCCAGCCAATCGAATGGCAAGTTGTCAATTGGCATGCAGAAAACGTACATCCAGCCTTTGGCAAGAGGTTAGATCGGTTGGCTGACATTGAGACGACATACGCGCCACGTCAATGAATGATAAATGAATCAAATCAACTAAGTGGCACGCAAGCCGATCAAATAGTAAACAACAGACGTTCACCAAATTTCAGCTGAAAAAGATCAGCTGAAATGACTAATACACAAAAATCTCAGGTAAAGACAAACAACCAAAGGAAAGCAAAGAAAGTGGAAACGAAGCCACAAATAATCTGGAAATGGCCGCAGAACAAACCGTTGTAAAATGTCTTTTAAATAATGAAGCAAGCCACAAACAAAGGCCAACAAAAAATCACGCAATTGCATAAATCTGTCGAAATTAGAGGTTGGGAGCAGCACAGAACAAACAAACAAATTGGCGAGAGGGGCCGTCACGGCAGTTGATCCGTATCGATGCTGAGGTATATAATTTGTGGCAGTGATTGCCAGTTGGGAGTTGGGAATATTTGTTTGGAGGAGAGATCTCTAGCAACGTGGAATTCATTTGAATTTAATTATAATAACAAAAGTCGTGTGTTGCTCCATTTTAACTATTGGCAAAATATTCGGCATTCAATGTGCAATGTGAACATTATTGAATCTACTTTAATGAGCTTCCAAATTGATTCCCGCTGCGATCTGTACCCGTTTCTTAGCCATAGTTTGATGCTAGTTGAGTCTTTATCTCCCATGAACTTTGGAGTTGTGTTTTTTCCACTGCGTTTTAATTAGCTGCTGGCTGATAAGCACTGATCCCTGGCCCGATCCCCGATCCCCGATCCCAGATGCCAGATTTACGATCCCGTTTGCCGCTTATCAGCGGCGATTACAAAACCAAATCAGAGATCGCGATCCGCGCACAGTCACTTCTTCCATAAACAATATTAATTTATTTGCGTTCGAGGATCACAATAAAAAAAGAAACAACAAACAAGAAATGTGCGCTGCTGCAGTGGCGTTTCCATATACATATGGGGGATAGATGGACATCGATTATCGATCCTATAGAGCGGGTGGGTGGGAGGGCGCAATGGGTGCGAGGGGCACCTTCTCGGTGGGCGCATCATAAGGCACCGCCGACGGGGGCTTTGGCGAGGAGGTGTCATCGCTGAGGCGATGCTTCAGCTCGTCGTACTTGTGGGCAACGGAGCTGCCAAAGTCCTTGGCCCCCTCACCGATCTTGTCGGTGTAGGGCTTGGCCGCCTCGGCCACATCCTCGGCACCCTGCTTCACCTTGCAGCCGAGATTCTTGAAGAAGTGCTTGAAGTCGCTGTCGTCCGGGCTCTTTGTCTCGTCGCAGTCGGCACGCACCTGGACCTGGACCTGGACGATCAGCAGCACGGCGAACAGGGTAGAGCACAGCAAAAACGATTTCATCTCGACGGCTTGACGGGGGCAATGAGACTGAAGCTCGTCTCCGTCGGCAGCTCCCAACGAAGTCAGCGGCGATAGCGACGGCGTCCAGGGGCAACCGGTTATGGTACCCGCACACACACACCGCCACCCCCTCTCTCTCCCTCACCACGACTCACAGCAGCAAACATGAAGTGAACAATAATAAATCTCAATCATTTGGTGAACGTGTGCGTGTGTGTTTATGTGTGTGGCTGTGCGTGTGACTTTATTTATTTGATGCTGCCTAGACGCCGGATCTCTTGGGGGTGGCTGGCGCCGGGGCACAGGGCGGCATCAACCGCAGCCGCTGCTGCTGCAACGGTGTCCGCCACTTGTAACAGCAATCACGATGATCCCAGGATGAACAGATGAATCCCGACCAGACACTGGCCTCCACCGGCAACAGAAATCCAAGCCCAGTTCCAGTTAAGGCAAGAACCACGACGCTGGCCATCAGGAGTCCGCAGGTCCTCAGCAGTAACATATTCAAACCAAAGGTGGCAGGCAACTGAAGAGCTGCGAAAAATATTTCAGATCAAAAAAGTTGCCCTCTCACTCTCTCACTCACAAAACACTCAATAGCCGGCTGAAAACTGCTTACAACCGAAATGTAGAGCGAAGATGAAGAGAGAGTGGAGTGACCTGCACCAGAAAAGAAAAAGAAGAGACAAAGAGAACAACAAATACACATAAGTACATATGTAAACGTAAGAGAAAAACAATGAGTCAAATGTGAGGGCGAAACAGTTTTCGAGAACTTTCGTCGAGGTTCTCGGATCAGCTTTAAAATGGAATAAATTGAGTTCCAAATTTAATTCATAAACTAAAACTAGTTTTATAATTTATTAGAATATATATAGTAAGTAGATACATGCATGTTATATATTATGTATTCAGTTATTTATGTTTATAAACTAATGATTCATGCCGTGTGGCAGCTCGTTGTCGACTTCGTTGGCTTCGTCTGCCAGCCACTCGATGTTTGCGGGTGTTGTAGCTGCTGTTGTTGTTGCCTCCTCGTTGCTGGAAGTGATGCCCTCCGTGGTGGAACTTTGCTTTTCGGTGTCTTTGTTCTTCTGGCTTATCTCTGGCTGCTCCGGCTGCTCAGGTTTATCCGACTCCTCTGACTCCTCAGGCCTCAGCGGCTTCTCCGGCTTTGGCAGCGTGAGCACATTCACAAAGAGCGTAATCCTTTGGAGCAGCGAACGTGTCACATCGCGGGCCTTCTCCTCCAGCAGCTTGGCCTCCTTCTCAATGTTCTCGATCCAGGGTTTGGCCTTCTCCAAGGTGCACTGCACACTGTGCACAAACTTGGTGACCTCACTGTGCGGCTTTGGGGTGGTCGTGGCCGAATCTTCCAGTGACTTGACCTCCGTACCACAGAGTATGGCCGCTGCCTGCAGCTGGCCGAGGCACAGGCACAGCCCAACGACAATGGCCACACTGAGCTTCAACTGGGTATTAGTCATCAACATCATCAACATCATTAGCTCTGTGGTCGCTGTGTGTGTCGCCGCTGAGACACCAAACTCGACTGAAACCCGTTTGCAGCCAGGCAGCACTACTTGACCAAGTTCTGGCCCCAGCCAGCCAGCCAGCCATCCAGCCATCCAGCCATCAAAGATCTGCGAGAAAGTCGTCGAGCAACTGAAATGCATTTCCAACCAGAACGGACCGCGACAGGGGAAATTGGAAGTGGAGAAGAGAATGCCAGCAACTGAACGAGCAAAGAAGATTCAAATGAACTTTGAGCTACTTAGAAGAAGTCCGAAGATCATTGGGGGCCGAGTGTGGCATGAAGAAATAAACGGATTGAAAACAAATTGATTGCTGAAGCGGAATATCCACAAATAAATGTATAAATGTAGCATAAAGGAAGATGAGTGGATGCCACAAATATGAATCAAATAAGTCAACCAATAGCCCCCCAACCCATCGAATGTTTTGGCGCACAATTTTTCACTTTCTCTTTTTATTTATGTAAAAAAAAAAACACAAAAAAAAACTCACGCACAAACAAATGGAAATCATAATACAAATTAATAAAATAATAAAAATCAAGTCGCTCACAATACTTAAAAAATATGTACAAAGAGGAGTCCCTAGTGGACACTTGCCAGCTTCTACTTCCTCAATTTGCTGCAGTTGCCCAAGGCATCGAGGATGTGTCCGTGGCCGCATTGCTGTTCGCCCTTGAGGATGTCCGGATTGATGACCTCGACGTTGGCGAGAAAGCCGCGATCCTTTGACATCTCTTCGACCGAGTCCTTGGCGAGCTTCTCGCGAAAGCCGTCGAAGCGATCCTTGATGTCGCTGCCGAGAACCTTGGCCTTGGCGCCCAGCTTCTGGGCGCCCTCCTTCAGCTCGGTGCCCAGATCCTTGGCCTTCTCGCCCAGCTTCTTGGCGCCCTCCTTGATGTGGCAGCCAAAGTTCTTGAAGAAGTCGCGCACCTCGTGCTCGCTGCTGCCACTCCCACCCGATATCTCCGAGATCTTCTCATTCAGATCGCTCAGGCCGGGCACCTTGTCCTCGCAGTCGAAGAGACCCGCCCGGCTGGGGGCGGCAGCGCCCAGCAGGAGCAGCACCAGCAGCAGGGATCCTTGTAGGTGATTCATTTTGATTTTGATTTCGATTTGAATTTTGATTGCAGGTTCCTGTGGCACACCAGACTGAACCTCAACGTTGACTCGACTTGTTCGCACTGACCTGGGGCTCCTCGATCGCCAGGCAATTTATTCAGTCGCCTCCGATTCTGACGAGCAGTTGGGTCGCTCGCCTTTTGTTGCTCGCCTTTTCCATTCTCGATTCTCCATTCCCAATTCCCCCCGCCAGTAATTCAATTTGCGACACAGGCAGCAATAATGCCACCAGATCGTGCCCAATTGTGGCTTGATTTAAGTAAGCAGCAACAAAGGGGGCAAACAAAGAATGTACACAGAATGAGCAAAGAGTGACTCTGGGGGGTAGAACGCCACCCAAAATACGCAGATACTTTCGACTTTTCCAGCGACTGGCCACACTGCCGCGGGTCAAGGCAGCCCTGCCCTGAGGAACAGATAACCCGCCACGCCCCGCGCTGGCGAATGTTCAAGTCGTGTTTTCGACTATTTGTTTAGCCGGAAGCATTGACGAGTACGAGTACTATATATAGTCTACGACAGACGTCGTCGTCGTCGTCGTCGTCTGTACGAGATGCGTTCAATTGGTTTTACTCGCATCTTAGCGGGGTACGAATTGACCCACAATGGCCGGGCCGCAACGTAGATTATATAACAATTGGCTACCCGCAAAAAGGGGGAAAAGCCTAGAATATGTTAAGCATAATGTCAAAATTTGCATATGATACAATCGCGTGATGCACAGATCTTTGATGGGGTGAGGAGAGGGAGCAGATGATTCATCAGGCACCTCGCACTGGCATACAAGAGCGAAAGGTTCAATAATCCGCTTATTCGAAAGTGCTGATTCAGGCCGATCAGCGACACTGACACTAGCGGCACTTTATTTTAAAGATTACCAGAGATTCCAGAGTCAGCCCTTTGATTCGTAGGGATGGACGAAATGGATAGATTGATAGAGAACGGATGTGAACAAAGAAACATCGACTTATACCCAAAACAATGCCCCGACCGATCAGGGTTTAGTTCGATCTCCCCTCGCTTAGGACGGACACTGATTTCCGTCATTGAAATTTTATTCAGCTCATTCTCACTGACATTTCACACTTAATTCAAGCTAATTGTGAATCGGCTCCAAATGGCACACATCAAGGAAGATATTCGGAGAGCGAGTGCCGACTTCCGTGTGGGACTAGCGTGGATTCCACTCGCTCGGATCTATGCTCCCCATATGGCTTTGGTCTTCAGTGTCGTAGTCGTCCTCCTCATCAGCGTCTGCGCCATCTTCATCCGCCTCATCTGCATCTTCGGGGTCTTCTGGATCCTCATCATTCTCCTCGGGCAGCGTGTAGTCAGCCTCTGTGGTTGTTTGCCGCTCCTCCTCGTGCGCCTTCTCCGGCTCCTCCTCGGGCTCCGTGAGCTCAGGCAATAGTGGCAAATCCGTGGTGGTGGTGGTGGTGGTTGTGGCTTGTGTGGTGCTACGTGGCGAGTTTTCATAGCCGTTGCCCAGACTCAACTTACAATCATCTGCTGTGGGGTCAAAGTCGCAGCGTATGCGCCGATCCATGGCGTCATTAGTGGTGCTGGTCTCTGGTGGTGCCGGACTAGTGCTGCGGCTCAGGCCCTGACCTGTTGGGGCGGGGCCAGAAATGTTAGTATTATGGTGATCCTGCAGCTCCTACAACTGGTTCTCACATTCACTGCGATGCGGCTCAAAGTCACAGCGCATGCGCCTGTCCATCTCGTTCTCGCTGATGGGATTAGTCACTACCTTCTTGGGCCGCCGCACGAAGTACACGTCCTTCACCTCGACAATCTCTAGGTCGGGATCGTAGCGAGAGACGCGGCGGCGCACCCAGCGCTTGTGTGATTTCTCGGGCAGTGGGGCGCCGTGGGCCTGCAGCAGCGCCAGGCTGCCGCAACCAATTATCGCCAGCAGGAGGATGGCCAGGAATCTATTCATTGCGTTGTCGCGCAATCAACTGGTCAGCTCGTAATGTCGGAGCTGGAGGAGCTTCGAGCTTGCAAGAATTTTCTGGCGGAAGCTTATCAATTGCGATAACCCTCCCAGCGACCTTGTTTGCTTACGAAGCGCAAGTGGCACGGCACGGCATGGTACGAGTTTGTGGCATACTCCCAGGCGGTTGCCGTTAATTGCCGCTCACGCCGCATGACGATGCATCAATGTCGGTGGCTACATAAATTAGATTTCCTCGTTTTTCTCGCCAACAAATTGGCCCATTCCCCCTCCACTGCCACAAACGCATTGCAATGCCAAACACGTCATGGCAGAGGTTGTACTGCACCCTTGTGCGCTTGGGATGAGTCCATCAGCTGGCAACCAACTCAAAGTTTTCGTTTATGGAGAAATATCATGCAATTTAACTTTACACAACAGAATATCAACCAATCGATCAGTGACTGTTTTCGATAAATGATCGAAGCTCTTTATCGATCAGCGAGGGTCGCTATGCGGTGACTTTTGATGGCGGTGGATATATGATAATGCTAAGCAGATATTTGCAGAAGTGAAGTTTGCCAATTGTGTGCTAGCATAGCCGCCCAGCACCCACTGAGTAATCGATAGCCATTCGATAGCTGAAATGCCTACACAGCTGACTCATCCGACCCCGACACCGACCTCCCCATCGATAGGCACCAAACGGCCAATTTGTTTCTGATGAAAAATATGCGAATTGTCGTTTTCCTCATACATAAGTATTTATTTTATGCTCGTTGCTGGCTTTCCTTTTAGCTTTTGCTCATTTTTTCTCATTTTTGTTGCTTTCCTTTTTGCATTTAGCTATTTCTTGTGTTATTTCTGCTTCTGTTTGTTTGTCATTTTTCAATGGCAGAATGTCTGTCGAGAGTCGAGGAGCAAATTAGCCGACAGAACGACCGACCGAGCGACCGTCCGCCCATCCCACGGCTGCCACATATGTTCAGGCATTTCCCAATAACATAACAGAAAAAAAATATCTGTGTATTTTTCCTCAGTTTTCTGTTGGTTTTCCCGGTAAGGGGGGGTGAGCAGTGGGATGTTGTTCAGAATAGATAAACAAAAAAAATGTTGAGCGGCCCCGCATGAACGAAAAGTAAAAAAAAAAACACAAAGACAATTCTGTACAAAAATTCACTTCGTTTGTGAGAGCGTGAAATATGCAAAAATCAGTAATAAATGAAAAGAATAAAGCAAAACCATACTGATACCGTGTATAGAGAGAGATCTTGTTAATAATAGCTACAAGTACATACATATGTAAGAGTACATCTGTGGCTGCAGTTCACATAAACCAAACTTGATATATTTTGATCAAAAAGTTCCCTTTATGCTCTAAAAGTTGTCACATTGGCAGCAACCTTTGGTGTATAGGTACATACATCTCGATGTGTGCACCCATATACCCTTTGTGATAAACGGGGTACCATGAAAATATATGATCAGCCAGGGGGTGGCTGTGGATATGGCTGCGGGTGTGCGGGGGCTGTGTTTTGGCTGTTTCTTTGGGGCCAAAGATGCGGCCAAGCCGAACAGTTGGCAACGAATCGCGTTAGCGGGCGGACAAAAGCGGAGCTGGCAGCGATCCCAGCTGATCGCAGAGGCACACCGAAAAGAGCGAGACGCACCACGGCAAAGCATAGAAAAGAAAGAGAGAGGAAGGAAGAGAGAGTGAGTGCCGGAGTGCAAGCAACAGCAAGAGAGAGAGAGAGTGTGAGTGTGAGGGAGAGGGAGAGCTAGAAAAGGCAACAGAGAGAGTGTCAGAGCAAAAGCAAGAGGTAGAGAGAGGGAGTCGGAGTGCGTGTGCGTGCAAAAATAAACAATTATTTATCTTGCTCTGTTTTGGTTGTTGTTTCTGTGTCGGTGGCGGGGGCGCAGTGCTAAGAAAACTGGCACAGTGGCACACGCACTTAAATGTCACTTGATGGTGAAGGCAGTGCCTGTGGGGCAGCGGCAACTGGGAATGGGAGCTGCGATCATCTAGATCAGGGAGCGATGACAACTAAAAATAGCTGAGGAGCAGGAACATGAAAGAGACAGAAAGCCAAGTGAGTGAATGTGAAGGAAAAGCCAAAAATAATTGAAAGCGTGGGCAGGAGGACAGTGAAATAAACACAAAAAGAACACGCGTAGAAAAAGAGAGAGAGAGAGGAAATATATTAAAAGCTGTAAAAGTTACAACTCAAAATTCGGCAAAAAGCAATAATCAAAATAAAGTGCCAAAAAGTGCAGAAAGAGTGCCAAAAAAGCCAAAAAAAAAAAGACTGATCCATGCCATTGAGTGCCCACTGTGCACACATAGTTGGGATAAACAATTAATTGGCCTAGGGCCAAACACACAAAAGAAGCAAAAGCAAACGAAGCAGCAGCGAAGATCAGAGAGCCAGAGGAAGATCAAACAGTCAACAGACAACCAACAGGTGGAAGGAAGACACCAAACCACACACAATCCACACCAAAGCAGTGCCCCCACCCCAGAGAGGGAGAGCCAAAGAGAGAGAGAGAGAGAGAGAGTTCCAGCTCATGCCTTGGAATGTCCCAGTCTCCAGATGAGGAGCTGGAGGAGGAGCAGCCCGATCCGCTGGCCAACCTGCTTAGCCTGCAGTTACGCAAGCCCCCGCACTGGAACTGGGAGCTGAGCACCTCCCGCAGTTGCAGCAACATCGCCCTGCCACGCATTCTGCTGTACGATCACACGGGCACCCTGCTAGTGGACGCACAGGGCGGCAGCGAACAGACCTATCGGTCGACGGACACGGCACAGGAACGGGGACAGCGAGAGCCGCAGAGACCCCGCAAGAGATCGGCCACCTCCAACCTTGCGCGTAACTTTCATGGCCTGCACATTGCCGAGGCCACGCCCAGTCCGAGCAGAAGCCGCGAGCGCTCCTACACGGGCAGCGGCAGCTGCATCGAGATCAACACCCACGAGCTGCCCAACTGGCTGCCCAGTGGCAGTGGCAGCTCCCGGCGTTCAAGCTCGCTGCGTAGCGTGCGTTTCCTGGAGTCGCCACAGCCACTCGTGGAGCAGCAGCAGGAGGAGGAGGAGGTGGAGGAGCTAGTGGAGCTGCCCGTTTATCCCACGCCGCCATCGACCTCAACGACCACAATGACTACGACCACGGCAAATTCGTCGTCGTCGGGGCCGCGTGAGAAGCGGCGCTATCGGCGATCCCACAGCTCCATTTTGGAGCGTTTCAGCATGTCGCGTGGGCGCCACTCGTCGCCGGAGTATGCCCAGGAGCGGGACGTGGAGCTGGCGCCGCGCTACTATCTGCGCACCAGCAAGGCGGGAACCCTGGTCATACGGGAGGAGAGCTTCAGCCGGATGCGGCAGCGGCGCCGTCGACCACCCAAGCACTCGTCCAGCGAGAACATACTGCAGGATGGGCGTCCGGAGAGTGCACAGAGTGCCGTGCAGGCCACGACACGGAGGCGTCACCAGGAGGCTGCCACGGCAGCGGCCATCTCCACTTCGGAGGAGGAGGCGCAGCTGGAGGATAAGCCACGCCCCAGCCACGGGCGACAGTCGCGCGGCAGACGGACGCAACGCAGCTGCGTCAAGGATGTGGCCCAGGGTAAGTCCAAGCAAAGCCTCACAATCGATACAGCTTATCCGTCATGGAATCCTTCTCTAATCCCAACAGAACTCATCACGGTTGATCCCGATAATTGTGTCTATCGTGCGGCGCCGGGCGCCACGGCACGCTAGCACCGAACTCACCACAAAAAGCAGCAAAGGAGCAGAAGGAAGATGTGTCCACACAAAACAGAAAAGGGGAGAGAGAAAGTATGGAAAAAGTAGTAGAAGAAGAAATCAAACTAGAGTTCCTCCTTGTGATGTAAGTCTGTGAAGATGTACATTAGATGAATAAATAAATGCAATATAAAGTACCAGGAAAATGCATTAGCCAACACTGGTTGTGGGGAAGGTGTTCAAGACAATATTTAACAATTTTTCATGTAATTTTGAAGACAGACTTATGTGCTGCATACTATTTAGGTATAGTTTTGATCCTCTGAATTATTTCTAGGATTATAAACATATTCTTAATTAAGAGAATATGACAACCAGAAAGTATAGAGATCAGCAATTAGCGAGAATTCTGTAACGAGTAGCTCTTAACGAGCAACCAGCAACGAGCAGCCTTTAACGAGTATCATCTATAGGTCTAAGTGCCTCGTTAAATCGTAATCTTTGGGATTCCCGAATTATTGTGTAAGTATTTTGCAAGTTCCGTAAATGCAGTCGTTTGCCAAAAGGTCTGTCAACCTTTTCACTCAATGAAGAGGCATTTATTTTTAACCAATTTTTCGATGTACCCAAAAAGCAAAGGTACTCGTAATTACTCATGAAATGGTTCTTTAAGCAACGCCGCCCAATGGCATGCCACAAATGAGTTGTATGATGATGTTATGCAGAGAGGCAACGAGATAGCCAGTGGCTAATCAGAGGCTGATAAGCTGGATCGCTGGGGCACGGCAGACGGCGGATGGTCGGCCGCAATTTGCGCGCTCAGTTCGATCGAGGCATTTGGAACGAGATGCGATTGCTGCTGCTGCTGCCGGCTGCCGGGTTGTTCCTGCTGTTGCTGCTGCTCCGACTGCCCCTGCCCGGGGACGGTGCGGGTCGTGTGATATACTTTAACCAGCTGAAAGAGAACCAGACGCTCCAAGCCAAAAAGAATGCGACGGACAGGCTGGGCAAGGGCATGCTCTTCGATGTGGGACGTGGCCACTGTCATCGCGGCTACATGCACGATCATCATGGCCGTTGTCGTAGGGTGAGTTGAGTGTCTGTCGACCAGTGGAGGGCAATGGACAGTGGACAGTGGTTGTACCGAATCTTTCGCTTGCAGATTGTCTAGGCCTGGCCCAGCCATCCGCAATCCTCCAATCAGTGATGTCTACGCTTAATATTTGTTTTTTGTTGTGATTTTTTTTGTTTGTGTAGAGAATAAAATTGAAACTAAATTGTCTGCAGATAAAAAAGATATAGATAAGACAAGCAGGCAGATAGCGAGACTGATAAAGAGTGAGGGAGATATTTGCGGCCCAAAAGTATGCCGAAATTTGTGTCGAGTTTGTCTCGAAAATTACCCTAGGTTGAACGATCTATTGAGGGGATCCACTTGGCCGTTTCCACGGACCTTAACCCCTCCAAAAAAGAAGAAGCAACAGCAGCAGTGGGCCACAGCTGCGTCACATCACGTGCACTTATGATGAAATTATGGCTTCCAAAGTGTTCCAGATATCAAGATACATTACCACCACACAAGATACAACTCGACAACAGCACAGATAATGGAGCAATGTCTGACTCATCCTGCACTCCTACATTCCCCCCCTCCTAGCTATGGCAACAATGGGGTTTGCAGTCATATTTTCGGGAAATTTCAGGGCACTTCCGATAAAGACCGTATGCCGTGGGCCCGTATGCCGTGTGTTGATCCGTGACGTTGAGGCCGTTTGTCGTGTAGGCGTGGGGAAGGCCATCAGGCCATGCGACAGGCCAACGTCTGCCCCTAATCGCTGTCAATTGTGCGAAGTCGCGTGGTCGCGCCCCGAAATTTATACAGAATTTGGCATGGCTCAGCGACGAGCATTACCTGGCTGAAAATACTGGCAGCACCAGCAATTGCTGCAAGCCTTTAGTATCTCTTGCTTTGGATCTTCAACACAAAAATAGCGAAGCAATTTACCCATTCACTTACTCAGTTTTAAAAATAACAATCACTTCCCCACGAATGACGTTCAAGTTTTTCAGGGGTTTTGTTAGACGGTACTTTCGTTTGTGATTAAGTTGCTAATAGAATATTCGATCTACTTGGATGTTGATAATTCAAGTTTGCTACAAATTCAAGTGCTATTTTTTTTAGAGATTCTTTAGCATAAAAATTCAAATTTTGCGTAATTTTGTTCCACATTTTGAGTTACTTTTGTTATCCTTTTAAGTTCCTATTCTATTTTTTTGTGTGTTTATTTGTATTTTTGATAACCTTTTTATTGGGCTGACCAGACTGCATTTGGGCAACTTGGGCCCCGCGACTTGGGCCACGTCCTATGCAAATGCATTTTGGGGCTAACATGATAAGGTTTTCAGCTACTGCTGATATTATCAGCTATCGTGCCCGATCTGATAGCTGACATTTCACTCGGTAACTGGCCTTAGACTTATCTGTATCCGAGTATCTAAGTATCTGTGTATCTGTATCTTCGGGAAGCGAATCAGTGCTGTGCTCGGGCATGGGTCTGACGAAACACTCAATTACACAGATTGCAAATGGCAGGGAGGACGTGGAGCGCGCCCAGATAAGATTCCCCCAAAGCGCTGCATACAGGGTGAGCGGCCCAATGGAGACGCTCAGGCCCAGAAACAAGGTAAGCCACAAGCAGCTGGTGTGGCAGGGCCACCCTGTTTCGTTTTTGGGTTTTATCAATTCAATGAAAAAGACAAGCGAACCGACACTTAAGAAGTGCCACCCCCGAATCATATATATTCAGTTAACTGCCGGCATTTGAGCACGTTAGAGCCAGTTAGAGGAACGCTACGGTTGGCTCAAATCAGAATCCAAATCAAAATCAAAATAATTCCCGCTCTCGTCATTCGAATTCGCATTCGCTCGGAGACTCCCACAACAATCCAACCAACCATACCAACAAAAATCTGCGAGCTCGAAATGTCGCTGCAACGCGTTCATCAGCTGCTCCTTTATGCGATCTGCCTGATGGCGGTGATTGTGTTTTGTGCACCGGCGGGAAGCGAGTCGCGTCGTGTCATCTTTTTGGCACCCAATGGCATACACCGCGGACAGATCTTGGCCACGCATGGCATGGAGAAGCCTTGCCCCCAGTGTCACATGCACGATCATCGCGGCAATTGTCGCCGCATCATTTCGTACAATGCAGGTGAATATTACGTATACGTCGTCGAGTCGAGTGCGTCATCGCCGGTCATGGAATCGACGCGAAGATGTCAACCCGTCAAGCCGTCAAGCCGCTTTCAGATTACCTACTACTCGACAAAGTGCTAACGTATCTATTGTTTCTGTCTCTGTCTTGCAGATGGCGTGCGCTGCTGAGGTGGGACAGGAGAAGTGCCAGTGAAAGCGCCAAAATGAAAAAAACGCAAAGCAAAATCCAAAATCAATCCATCGAAACGAATCTCCAACTCTCTCAAAAACCCAACAGCATTATTTGTGCTCTATTTATTTATGTTATTTATCAGCCTCGCACGCGCTCCAGCACCCAAAAATACACACACTTACCCCCCCACCACACATGCTCTATATAATAAAATACAAATATCTATAGTTGAATTAAACCCACTGTGTGTCCTGTGTCTTCTCTTTATTTGTATTATTTATTTTTTGTTTGGTGAATTGTCGTTTGTGAATTGGAGTTCGGTGCATTGCAGTGTAATTGCTGTCAGTTAATTACAGATAAATGCACACAAAGCATCGATGGAAATATATCTACATATTTCGCCAACCCGCCCAGCGCAGTCCCGCCAACAAGTGTGATGCATAAATTTGCATATCATTCACCCTTGCCTGATATCGGGTATTGAATGGCAGTTTCATGAACTCTCCCTCCCTCTATCTTATCAATTAAAAACACATTACGCATGGGCTTTCCAGGCCTCCAGGTCTGCTGGCTCTGTCATGTTCTGGTTCTGGTTCTGCTTCTGGTTTTGGTTCTGGTCTAAAGGCGTCTATGATATCAGCTTCTTAAGTGAAATCGGAAATATTTGATTTTTCAATTATAATGCCGACTTGACGTAAACGCTTGCCTATATGCTCCTATGTGTACACATATGACGGCTGCATGCCGTATTATCTGGGAATTCCTCGTGTATTTAATGTAACCAAATGGCCAATGGGTCGAGGGTAGATTCGGAATGAATTGATGCGGAAATAAGGAGCACATCGCAGGACTAAATGTGGAGTTAGCTCTTCTCAGTTATAGTTCAAACTCTTCTTAAAAACTCAATGAAGAGACTCTGATCATTCGGAGTTATTGGGAGTAGCTCGAACTAAAACTTGAATTTATTTTCAATTTACTGATAAACTCAAGAAAATGTAGTCCAATGTAACCCCGAATTTACTCCGAAATTATAAAAAAAACATTACTCCGAATTTACTCCGAATTGTATCAAAGTGCACCCCAAATTGCATCCTAACATACTCCGAATATACTCCGAATTTACTCCGAACTGTCCCAAAATGTACTCCGAAACAGCCCTTAGCCATTACCAAACCGATTTCGAAGTCATTTATAAAAATGTGGGGAGTAAGCATTGCGTTTGCGAGGAAGGTGCTCGAATTCTAATCCGAATCTACCAGAAGCTACTCAGCTAATCAGTGTGTGAATGTGGTGTAACACGCCGGCGGACCGGACCGGACCGGACCGGCGACAGGCACGCTCTATCGATCACTTGAATGTGCCAGGAAAAGTCCGCCCGAAACCCTCTGACAAGCCAATAGCTAGATCCGCACGAAACTTTGGACCCCGCCGCATTGCTCGACTTACTACGTCAGATGTAGGGGCAGGGCTGGTGCCGGTGTCGGTGTCGGTGCTGGTGCCATGGCTGGACATGTAATCAAATGAGGGATGGGAATCGGATGAGGGGGTATGGGGTTAGTGGGAGTGCCAGTGACTGTTTCATCAGCGTGCAGGTGATTCGGCTTCGAATCGGATTCATCAAACGACCTTATCGACATGTCACACACTCGGAGACAATTAGTGAATGAAAAACTCTCAATTCATTTCACAAGCGTGCTAAATGATATCCGTGAGAGCCAACATAAGAGTGTTGGAGAGCACCGAACAGGTCATGGGTCGACATTATACATTCTACATGCTTCGGGCATTCCACATTTCCATTTTCCATGGCCTAATTTCAGGCTGAGTGCGGTAATGGTTGTGTATCGGGGCATTGTTCAGACCGGATGGAAGGCGTCACTGATAAGGTGGAGGCGGATACAACACGTTCGCTGGTCAGTGATCCACCGTATGACGAAGTGCCCAAGAGCCCCAGCCAACTTCTGGCGAAGTGCTGCGACACATGGCAGGGGAATGTGCGTCGCGTCGAGCGACTTCGTCATAATGCAAGATGGGTAAGGGACGAAAATAGCCACCACCAGGGGCTCCACTTGTGGCAGTCTACAGAGAAACCCGAGACCGAGACCGAGACCGAGCCCGAGCCAGCCCAGACCGTAGACAATGTTTGTATATAGCAATGGGTCGACACACAATTGATATTTGTATATTCCAATGGGGAGTATACGGCCTGGCCTGTCGTATCTTATCGTTGGCTGTGGAATGCCTTTAGGGGGGCTTATCTTATCGATTTGTGCACGGCGGTCGCCGTCTTGGGCTATCGACACTGAATATCGACAGGCACAACATCGGGAAACGCGCCCAGTCATAAAAGCGAAGCGCTAGCGAAACAATCTCCAAGCCCAAGCCCAAGCCAAGCCAAGGAACAATCGCGCGTGCCTAGCCACAAAAGTAGAAGTACGACAAAAGTGCGACCCAACTGAAACTTGAATTAAATCTCTGCCACACCTTTGGAAGAAATGAAGCTGCAACGTCTGATGCTCACTGCCGTGCTGCTGCTCTGCCTTATACTGGCGCAAAATGACAGGACAACGGAGGCCCGCCGCCTGATTTTCTACAGTCCGAATAGCCGCACCCTGCACAGTCAGCTGCTCGTGTCGCGGCGCCTGCCGCGTCCCTGTCCCGCCGGCAAGATGCGCGACCATCGGGATCGCTGTCGTCGTGCGCTCATCTTCGGACGCAGCACCTGAGCAGCGGATTGCCTGCCTGCCGCTGCCAAGTGGCAACCAATTAAAATCTCTTCGTCTATTTTTTTTTTTGTGTTTGTTGTAAGCTAATTTATTGCCCCTGCGGCACTTAGAGGTAGTTGCATAGGTTTATTCCTGTAGTTATTACGTTATTTATTTGTAGCTGGTTACGAAATGGTCGCTAAATAGGTCGCCGCATAGTAAACTAAAATCGAAGTAAAGATACGATACGAAACGATACGTGTGCATAGTTTGTGGAAAGTTTATGGCTGAGGGCCACCATTCAAACACTGAAAGATAACCTCATTTGTACAACATTTAAAAATAAAAAAGAAACATAAAAACTAAACCAAAATGAGGCATCAACTCTAATGAGAGTGGCATCTGTGGTGGGGATATCAGGGGAGGTCTGATTGTTCACAGAAATTTGTACACCAAGCGCAGCTCATGAGCGATCGCTGGATGATCTCAGAGGCTTTCCTGTGCCTCATTATTTTGTTTAAAATTCTATCAGAGTTCTACCAATCAGCCATCTCAGGGAGATCTCTTTCCCTCTCGTCTTGTTGGGTAAGTCCCGGGAGCTGTCGCTGTCGCTGTGCTGTGCCGAGTGCCCACGCTCATGCCCGTTGGGTGAGCCATCAATATACTTTTGCGTGTCATGAGCAAAGATATTTAATCTATGGTTAGATTGCGATCCACAGCGGTGCCGATATGGGGGGGAGGGAGGCCGACAACACAACATCTTTGACAAATTGACACGGGCGGAAATCAGTGACGTGAGCGATGACACCATGACGTCGCGCCGAATTTAATAGATAATAAAAAAAATATATAATAAAAATAAGAACCCGAGGGAGTTCCCCAGGAAGAAGAGAACTAAATGCGATTTGCACGAATGGTCTGCTCGATCCAGTCCATGTAGCTGCTGATTCTCGTGTAGACGCCGGAGAACTCCGTCTGGCCGCACTCCTCCCGCCCAAACGAGACGACGCCCGCCAAGTAGACAAAGCGATCGCGCTGCGGGGTGTTGGCCTCGACGGTGAGCGGTCCGCCGGAGTCTCCGCTGCAGGAGTCCACGCCAATGCCGCCGCCGGCACACAGCTGCTTCTCGTTGAGCACTTGACCGTCCTTGCTGAACGCCGCCTGGCACTGGTCGAGCGGCTGCACAATGAGCATCGCCTTGCGCTTGAAGTTGCTCGATTCGCTGTGCTCGGTGCGCCCCCAGCCGGAGACATCGACGGCGGCGCCCACCAGCTGATTGGCCGCTGCACCACGTGCCGGCGGCAGGCAGACGGGCTCCACGTGCTGCATCTGCAGCCAATTGACGGGCCGAGCCAGCCGCAGCAGGGCAATGTCGTTGGTCAGATTCCGGACGGAGAACTGCTCGTGCGGCAGGATGCGATCGATGGCCACACTTATATGCGGCGGCACGCACTCCCGCCTGCCGTTCAAATTCGTGATGCAATCGGGATCGGTGGCCTTGTTCCATTCCCCCAGCCGGGCGCCCGTCAGCTTGCGACCGGGGCCCATGAAGAAGGAGTGCGTGCAGTGGGCGGCCGTCAGCAGCCAGCGCTGGGCAATGAAGGCAGCGCCACACACGTGGCTCTTGTTGCCATTCTCCTCGGAGAACTCCAGCAGCGTGGTCCAGGGGAACTCGAGGATGCCCGCCACGCTGCCCCCGAACACACGGGAAGCGAATGCCGTGCCGCAGTACGGATGCTCCGGCAGCTGATCGGGGCTGGTGGGTGGTCGGGGTGCTGAACCGGCACCAGGCGGTGTCTGCTGGTTGGGCGCTGCCTCCAGTCGCAGCAAAGGTCGTGCTGTGGTTGTGGTTGTGGTTGTGGTTCCATTGTTGATGCGCACCCCCAGCACGGGTATAATGTTGCTCTCTCGCGGACAACAAACCAAATCGGGTCTCTGGCGGGAGTAGCAGTGCCGCTTGCTGGATGCGTCCAGTTTGTCCACATCGTAGAAGTCACAGTTGCCGGGCTCGAGGCATGTGCCACGGCCATAGTCCGCCGTGTGGCAATTGCCAAAGTGCGTCTTTGTCTCTGTGGAAGGCACAGCCTTAGTGGCAGTTTCAAAATAAAAATGAGCTCCAAGTACTTACTATCCCAGCGCTGAGCATTGGCGAGCAGCGGCAGTACCAAGAGAAGGAGCAGCAGCATCGCAGAACTGAAGATTTGTTTTTATTTACTTTAATTAATTTGTGCTAGCTGCCGCTTTGGATGCTGACGATCGACTGGTGGGGGGCTAACGATGCGCTTTGCGATTTGCTCGGCTGCAACGCGATGCAACGGCCTCGTGCTGTGAGCCGCAACCCGCAACCCGCATGCCGCTTGCCAACCCACCGCCTGAAGCTTGGCTTTTCCACACACAACCACAGATCTACAGATCAGCACCACCCCCCACTGCTGCTGGTGCCGATTAGCACGATCGATACTCATTGATTGCAGCGTTTGGGAGAGGGAAAACCCGTTCCACATTGGCTTCCAGTTCCAGTTCCAGCGTCAGTCTCAGTCTCAGTCTCAGTCGCGCTTCCATGTACGAGCGCACAATAATTATTCAGCTACGTACTGCATATTATGTACATACTTACGCACTCTCGTACATATGTACATACATACATTTGCACATGGACTTATTGTTGATTCTGTTGCAGTTGGCCGCTATCAGGCCATAAAGTGCATGATTAGATTCTCGATCCAGTGATACGAGTACTCTGGCTGCAAGTGTAGGGTGTAATGTGAATGCCGCCTCTTTTTTTCCCGAATCTTTCCATCCAGAATAGTTCCCAGACATTTTGCCAGCCACAACCCCTTCGACGTTTCTCCATTGGTGGCATTTCCAGGCCGCAGTTAAGAAATCCCCCGACGACACAGCTACAAAAACCCAGAGCACGAATATACTTAATAACCATCTATAGATGCTTATCAATATCATAATTATTGTGCAATAAATGTAAACAGCAGTCTTTGCGGACTGCTGTTCGATTTGCTGTATGTAAAAATATGTAAAATCAATAAAATAATGTTTTGTATATGGCATATTGACATAAGTCTCCCACTGACTCTCTTTCACTCTCCCTTCATTCACGAAAGTCTGACCGCTTGACGCCTACAAAGCCAAAGTTTTATTCATTATTCGACTTTGTCTCAGTTGCAGGGTAAATGGCGCGATTACCACTCTGCTTACCTTGTAATCGGCTAGTGGTTAACATACGTACTTACATACGTAAGTAGTTACTTCATTTGGGAAATTGCTGCTGAATACACTGACAGGGACACATGCATGTTCCCATGCAGTGGAAAAGATTTCACTCCATCTCTCTGTTTATCGTTGTCAAAAAACAATACAGTACAAAAGCAATAGGAATTTTCCAATATCACAGCTACTGACAGACTGTACCCATTCTTGGTCACTTTTATGCCTTTCATTCTGTCACACGCTCTAAAAAAGTGCGTCTAGCAGCAAGACAGTCCCCGTATGCTGGGAGAGACAACAGCGAGACAACAGTGTTCTCCCGCTCTTACTCCCACACACATCCCATGCGAAGTTTGCTATATGTGCAACACCCTGTATATTTTCGTCATGGATGTGGCGCCCATTCTACATATTTCGTGCCCATCTCCTTCTAGCGCTTTCCATAGAAATGTGTAAATGAAGTTTCTCTTCGAACACGAAACGGAAGCTATCGAATATCAAAACAATTCTGGCTGCACAAACAAAATGTGTACCGACAATTGAAAATGTAAATATGTAAGCGTAGGTACATGTGTACATACATCTATGTAACAGTAACAGTCCCAGCTGGCATTGAAGCGGCATCTACAAAAATGTCACAGTAACTTTGAAGGTTTCCCAGAGTGGGCAAGACATCGGCTTTTTGCATAAATGCAAAATAGTTAAGGCTCAAATTGTGCGAGGCATCAAAATCCCACTGCCAGCTCTGCTGGCGGAGGTGGTAGCAGGGCAGGAGCAACGAAATTTGAAATGTTGCAGCTGCAACAATCTGTTTACAGGGAAAGCAAAGAAGTCGAATCTTGGTTACCCCTTGAATGATTGCAAGTACATTTTGCAGTTACCATTTAATGGTACATATGTACATAAGTATGTACATATGTATATGTACATATGTATGTACCTCCTGCTGTTGTTATTTCATCATAAGAATCGATCACATTTTGTATGGTTGTAGATTGCCCATTCCCATTCCATTTCACTGCCTGATTGGAGTGCCAGCATCGGACGTCTGGACCACTGGCCTTTCTTGGCTTTCCTCTGCCCTTTCCCTCTCCCTTTTTTTGTTACCATTTTTTTTCGGAGCGCACAAAAGTTTGTCCAGAGCTTTGACTTTCAGAAGGAGGTTGTCCGGCCGGGCTGGGGTTGGTTCTTTCTTCCTTAGGAAGCCAGCCAGCCAAAACTTGAGGCAGAGCAGCAGTACGGAGGAGTATCTGTTGCAGTGTCACCGACTTGAAATGGCCAACGGGGCTGACCGGGGGGCAGTCGTGCAGTCGGTTGGACGGGCAAACGATAATGAATAATGTTGCTGGCGATAATGTTGCCGCCTCCGTCAGCAACATGAAACCATTTGAGCTTCCTCGAGATGGAAACGTGACTCACGAGAGAGTTCCATGGCTGTGCAAAGAAAGTTTCCAAGAGAGTTAAAAGGAACCCCCTCCACAATAAGAAGTTGCATTTAACGCTGCAAATGCTCATTGAAAAATGTCTGGGGAATCACGCACTCCACCCTAGCCACAGCCCTTGGGTGGTGACAGTAGTGGCAGTGGTTGTGGCAGGGGCACAAAGTTCAAGAGAATACTGATAAAATTTCAGCAGAATAATTTCTGCAACAATGACTGTCACTTGCCCCAGCGTTTTCCGTTTGGCCCGGTTTCCCCCTGCCCTTTCCCACAAC